AGCAGTTCCCTATATAGCTTTTAATTATTTCAGCAGAGAGAGATAGACATCAATCCCTTCATTAAGGCAAGGAGTATTCAGGGAGAACCATTTTAGAAAGGCTGGCTTGGGGCAGAAGTTGCAGCTGGTACACATCCAGCAGTCGTGGTCGAATCAGCCACGCCATGAAGGCGCCAGGGCTCGCTGCCAGCCAGCTGACAGAGAAGCAAGACGAAGAGGCAAGTCCATGAAGAAAGACTGCGGCAGCGTGGGAGGACTATGACCTTTTGATCTCCAAGATGTTCCTGATGTACCAAAGTGACATGTCAGCTCTAATAAGCTGCAGTCTCGAACTAGTGGCAGGAACCAACAAATTACTGTGAGATCTGAAGGCATTTGTTGTGATGATCCTGGCCTGGATGGGGCATATCAGTGCTCCCCCAGCAGGACTATTTGACAGTCTATCCCAACAATTCCCGAACCAGGGATTGTAACCTCCAGCAGGGTCACAGCCACACAGAGTGGGGTCACAAGACTGACAGAGATGTGATTGTTTATGTTAGTATTTGGGGTCGCAAGCTTGGCTGGGGTGAGTTCACCACCAGAAACAGGGGCACAAACACAAACCATTTGGGAACAGCTGGTCTAACAGATTTCACACTCAGAAACAACTTCCGGATATTCAGCTAAAACATGCCCAAACTACTGCCTTACATATCCATGTGCCAGCCTGAAACAACAACTTCCCTGCCAGGTATCAGACTGGCTCAAATTACTCCCAAAGAATCATGGCTGTTTACCCAGCAGTAGCATCTGTTTTGCCTTTTCCTGACAAATTTTCCATTGTTAACAGTGCAGCTATTCATACTTGAACCATTGTCTTTTCTACCCTTCCTGGCAGTAGTTAAGCACCAACTCATGCCAGAATCTTCTGTAGACTGTGGCTTGCCTAGGAGATTGGAGCAACAGTAGGACATTTTAGGAGAGCAGAAATTAATGTAAACATAGCCTTCCTTTAGTTAAGCTCCAGGTATTTCCTCTTTCTACCATTTCTTCACCCATCTTTCTGTACTGCACTGTGACCACTTGGGTTGCTTTTCTCCAAATATTTCTTAATTTTATTTTTTAGTATAACTGATATTATGAGAAGACTAGCAGAATCTAGATTAGATTAATTTTGTCTCTATGAAGCGCGCAAAATCTGCTCATACTCAAGGCTCTCTATTTTAATTAAATTAAGAGGTAATCCACCAACTATATACTGTCTTTTATTATCATGTTATGTTTGGGTTTGAATGTAACATTTTAGGAGTAGACTGTCACTGGGAAGAAGTTCATTCACATGCCAGAGCGCCCAGCTTCAACCTCCAAAAAAGGATAAGAGGTTATAAAACTTCCATAATTTAAGACAATAAATCATTATTACAATAATAAAGCAGGAAATAGACACAAATTAAGCAGAAACACCCATGTGCTCTTTTTACGATTAAGGGGAATCATCAATCACAGAAGCTGCCTGAGATTAACAAGGAGCCAGTTTTTCAAACATCCTGCAGTAAACCCAGAGGAAACCCAGCTGGAACTGCAACTCGAACACAGGCAACTGACTCTAAAAGTATCCTCTGTCCCTTCACCCTCGCCTTCCCTTTTGGCATAACACCTGCACCTAGGGTCACTTCTAACTGCTTCAAGTTCTGCAGGTGAGCCATATGCTTCATGTAATGCCCCAAGACAAATATGATTCCCATAGTTATGTCTTCCCATAAATCAAAATCCTCCCGATCCCTTCCCAGTTCTATGAGAAGAAAGATCCATTGCTGGTACTATAAAACTGCAGAAGAAATGGGACTAAATGCTACTCAATCATAAATATTAATTTTTTTTCCTCAACCTCTGTACAGATTTAAGGAGAATCCACTGTGAGTTAAGACAGAATTTAACTGGTCACTGTGCACAGGGACAAGTGGTGTTTAGCTATTTCCTACCCTTGAATTCATTTTTTACAATGCAATTTGAAAGATAAATTAGTTTAGAGCAGTTCCAGCAACACTGGGGTGCAATGTAAGACTGCAGAAGGAATTTAGAGCCAAACCATGTCTCATTTTTCTGAATTGAACCACTGATTTGCAGGACCACAGAAAAAGTTCATTATTCACCCACACTGTAGTATGAGTTAATCTTATTTTTAAACATAGGGCATAAGGAAATGACCAACTGCAATCTTGCTACAATGCTTTACAGCTGTATGCCATCCACTGAAACTCACTGACTGACACATATATGCTCTCAATCTTACTGCAGTTACAGGAACACAGGAATAAACTGGTCTGTGCAGCAGGATTCATGCAAACCCATTCTACTTTGCATTGGAAGGTGTAACACGTACTCGGCGCACCTCTTTTCAGCCGAGGTAAGTCATTTAGCAGCTAAGAGGTGGTAACTCCTAACCACTCAACTATGACTGTAATCACTTCTGTTATCGTGCTTCTAATTACATAGATGAGTGATTCCCAGCAAATGTACCTGAAGGCTTTTTGGATTACAAATTGTTGATTAATGATTGTAAGTCATATCACATCTTCAGAAAGAAACCACAACAAAGCAGTAGAACTTTGCATTCTCTCATCACATCCATTAGGAAATGATGAATGGAGATTCTCTTAAACTGATATATAGAGGTCTTTGAGTGTTCCTGCTGACAGTTTTCAACATTTCCATAGTCTATATCAAGTGATTATGCATGTCATTCAGCTTGACATCTCCATAGACACATACAGTCTCTGTAACACTGTTTTACTGAGAGACTTATCTTTTGATTAAAAAGCCGTTAAAATTTGGCTAGATGTTATTACGTCGCTACTTCCCACTTAGTGAAATATAGCATCAAAATTAGTACAGGCTAACATGACCATTGTTATTGTGAAATCTAACTGCTCCATATACCACCGCAACCCTGCCTCGTGCAGAAACAATCACAGTATCATTTCCCCTAATGGTTAATATCATTTGTTCCAGGCCCTGTAACGATGGTGCACTTCCTTGTGGCATTCTCAACAATCAGAAAGGCTTTTTTCTTTCCACTGAAGCACTGGGGGGCAGACTCTACTACTGTTAAGAGCACAGAGTTACAAGAAACACAAACACAGTGGAAGCACAAGAATCAAACTGTATTTTGAGGAGGCACATTTTTCCCTCCAACATGTTTTATCAAGGTTATCCCTTTTTTTCAGTGCCCACTGTTTACCTGTCCTGAAGTAGATGGACTATGCTGACTTCTAGCAGGTGAAGGAAGATGAGCTCCTTTCTCACCTTCGAGAGTATGTGGGCCTAATAATCTTTTTCATGAAAGGTCTGAAGCCGGAGAAGTAACTCAAAGACAGAACAGACTGAAGGAATAAAAGGCTTCCCACAGCACTGTTGGCTGGTGAAGTGGGTTACAGGGTCTATGCTGGAACAATTTCTTAAAAGACAGCTGAGACATGAAGTCCAGCACCAAAATAAAGGATTAGAAAGAAACAATTCCAGCTGTTCCATTATTGAGCTTACATGAACAAGAACCAGTGAGTTAAATAATTCTATCAACTCTGACACTAAAGTCACAACGCCCAAGGCTCAGACTTGGAGGCAGAATCCTGTGGCTCATGGAGCTGTTCTGTCCCATCACGGGAGGGTAGCTGGCATTGTGCCTTAGTGGCAACCAAACCATCAGGTGAGAAGTAGTAATTAATATCAAAGCAAACACAGAGGCAAAGCCACTACACTTCCGTGTATCATTATGACTGTAGAAGGCAAATGCTATATTGTAGCCCTTCCCTACCTTCTTAAGCCATAAACCAAGAAGAGAACTCCATTAGAGAATCACTGAACAGGCAAGGCTGGAAGGAACTACAATGGGTCATCTGGTCCAACCTCCCTGCTCAAGCAGGGTCATCCTAGAGCACATTGCACAGGATTGCATCCAGACAGTTCTTGAATATCTCCTGTGAGAGAGACTCCACAATCTCTATGGGCAATCCGTTCCAATGCACAGTCACCTGCACAGTAAAGAAGTTCTTCTGCATATTCAGATGGAACTTCCTGTGCATCAGTTTCTGCCTGTTGCCTCTTGTCCTATTGCTTGGCACCACAAAGAAGAGCCTGGCTCTATCCTCTTGACACCCTCCCTTCAAATACTTAAACATATTGATAAGGTCCCCTCTTTACCTTTTCAGGCATGTGCTTTAGTCTTTAGGATTCACACCTGCACACTAGTCTCAGTTTGGAAATTTACTCTTTAGTACGCACAGACATGGTGTAATTGTTGGAATTCATCTTCCAAATAATCTGGCAATACCATTAGTGTTATTTGTACTCACTGCCTTTTGCATATCTAAAATTCATTAAGCTTCACAGGATCCACATGAGGGGTCACAGTCAAAAGACTTTACTTATACCATGTGACATGGTTCTTGAGTTTCTACATGCCCAGTAACCTCGAAAGAGATTATACAATGGTAACAAAATTGAAGGGTTTTAGTAGGTATTTCCAAATACTTGAGTCTCAGAAAGTCAGAGTGGATTCATATTAAAATGATAGGATATTAATTTATGAATTGTCTTATTCAAAAATGTATTATAATTAACTAACAATACTGCTTCAATGATCCAAGACAAACTATTTTCTCTTTCAAGCAAAATTGTGCAAACCAGGCTGCAATCAGTTTACAGAGCATTCAGCTAAAACACTAAAGCCCTAAAACATGCCAAAGTGTTATGGTACTTTCCAGTGCATTTAAATTCATATCATGCTGGAGCACTTCACTAGGACATGCATTATTCTGCATTAGCTTTAAAACTACAAGGAGGAAGTGTTTTAGAAACCTTTTAACAGCTGCTTGATCTGTAAGCTCACAGTTCCTGCAAAACAGGTAAGTTTATGTTCTCACAGGATATTCTTTTTTATTTTAACTAAGTCACCTGCAGATCCAACCCTAAGCATTAAGTGCACACATAAATCAATAAATAAACAAACCAAAACCAACCAACAGCCTCTGATCTCTGGGGGCTCCTCAGTTCACTTGATAATTCCTTCAGTGTTTTCGCTCTGTTTGGTGCTAGGACTGAAAAAAGAGGATTTGAAGAGAGAGAAGTAATAAACTACAGAACTGATCTTACTCTGAGGTGAAGAGGTCAACTCATTATTTTCCCCCAGGTATATCCTGAAATATTAAGAAAGCAAAAAAAAGTTGAAGAATAAAAATATAACCCCAAATTTTAAAAAATGGTAAACTGAGGCTTGAAGAATAAAACAATTTAATCACAATATGACTAGAAATCAAGGGCAAAGCAAGGAAGAGAAGCCAAAGATTCCAGCTTCAGATCTTCTGCTCCTAAGCTAAAGTAGGAAAATCCTGTGGGTGGGAGATATTATAGCAGCTTAGTTTTCTCCAGTCTCCATAACACGAAAGCCTACTTCTGTGCAACAGCTTAAAAGAATTCAAGATCAGAGCAACAAAGTTGAAAAGGTCAGACTAAACTCATTGCTCTCACACTGTGCACTAAAAATATACAATGCTATGACAAACTGCTTGATGAGCACAAATGGCAGAAGACTGAACACTGGCTTCCCCAGAGCTAGCACAAGTTTACAGACAATTTAAAACACAAAATAATTCTGACTTTTTCAAACAAATATTTGAAAGTACTAGCTGAGATTGAAGAAGCCCAAGACAGCATTCTTTTTTTTGTGTGACGCTTTGTGCATGCTGTGAGGGGGATACTGTTCTTGTTCATACCAACACACTCCTGAGCTTTTTCCAAGAAAGACTGAGTTTGGCTTTTATGTCTGTGAGAGGAAGTTAGAGCTTGCAGCTGGCAGATATATTAATAAGACAGGCACTGGTGGACTACAAGGGACCTCAAGTAGGTCATACTGTCCTATCTCTTTGCAGCACACAAATGAAACGCACAAATTTCCCTGTCCAGCTAGCACTCTAATACACAGGCTTAGAATTAATTTCTAAAGACCTTTCACATTAGGTAAAACTTATTCATGTGAACTTGCAAAAATAACAAAAATAGTACAGCCACAGCCCCAGATAACTTGTTTAAAAACATCCATTAACAGTCATGCAAAATAGTTTGCTGTGTACATTTACATTCCCTTTCTAGTGTTCACTTAGCCTAATTCAGCTTAAATCTATTTTTTTTAATTATTTAAAAAAATATTTTAATTGGGTAAGAGCTACTTTTTATGTTTAAGTAATAAAGCATTAGTTCTTGTGATAGTCCTGGGCTTGTCTGACCGCCCCTGCAATCTAAAACAACTTTAAGGCTTTTTAAACTGGAAATTGTCTCTGACCGGAAGAGCTAAACAGAGGCTATTTCATAAGCAAGGATGAAAGTGAAAGAGCAGTGTTCACAATCATCTTTCAGTCTATCTCCTGTGATGACACGGTTTGAGAGATGGCTATGTAAGAATGGTGCAGTTACAAGTAGAAACTGAGTTTGCTTCCCAGGGAAGAAGCAACAGCCTTACATCTCTGAGAATTTTAGAGCTGGAGAAAAACACCATTAGTCTTAACTCCTTCAGATAATAATCTGACAAGTATGTAAAGACCAAATGAATGCAAGAGCTCAGACTATGGGTAGAGAAACTTTTGTGTTTTATTCATCACCTTAATTTGTAGCAAACTAAGCATTTTTTTTTATCTGTCTTGAAGCAGAAGTATGCACTGGGAATTTAGCTGGACATAACCATTTCCTGCAAAAATTACCAACAAACAGTTCATGAATTCTTACACTGGTACATAAGTGGTGGGATTTTACAGCCAGCACTGCTTTTACAAAGCCATTAATGTTCTCATAAAAAACGAACATATTTTTAGGACACAAGTTCTCATGCACTAGATTACAATTCTACAGAAGACAACCTTTGAGCCTGAAACAGCTTGACAATGTCCTTTCAGCTTGTTCATCAGATTAACTTTCTGTCTCACATCAGATGAACAGCTTCCTTGGTTTCTTGACTAATCTAACACATAACCCAAGCAATTCCCTTCTCAAGCACAATCAGAAGCAAAACCAAAAGACACTGTAACATTCCACTTCATTCTAATAGCACATTCAGTTCGAAATTTTCATTTCTGCCTCTCCCTAAGAAAGATTACCCTTTTAGCAAACCATTTACAGTGACTGGACTCTGATTTCAGATAGGATTAAAACAACATATCAGACATACACAAACCAAGTGGTCTGAGTTGCTTACAGGACTAATAATGTGTTATGGGTCCTTTCACATCTAGGTCACTGGTTCAAATTCAGCTTCAGTTGGTGATGAGTGACAAGGAACAATGAGGTAAGAACTCAGTCACAAATCTGGCCTCTTATCCCTGACTCTGCAACATATCCTCTTTGTGCACTTTGGCTACTCACCTAACTACTTTTCCTGCAAATTCTACAGTTGTAAAAGAGTAGTAAGTATTATGAATATCACACTAACCCTAGAAGACTAATTAATTTGGGATTCTGAAAGCATAAAAAACTTATCAGAAGATTAAAGTATTGCTACTTTCAGGCTGTTCAACAGCTAACAAGAAACACATTAAAAGGGGGAACTTTCTCAGGACAGGTCAACAACTCAGTGTTAAAAAAATCCACTAAAACACACTATCCACACCTGTAGCTTTTGATACCAAGATAAACATAGAAATCAAATGCTGAATGGGCCTGAAATTCCACATTTTCTCACAGGTAGACAGCATGTGTTAAAAGTGATGAAAAATGGAAATCCAGAAGCAGCCATTTTATGAATAAAAAAGACACAGGGAGAACACTATGTAGTGTGAAGATGCACTGTGTTCTTCCATTACACAACACAGCATGTAAATGCCATGTTAATGTTAGTCAACAGAAGAAGGAAGGGAGAGAAGGAAGGAAGGGAGAGAAGGAAAGAAGTTTATCAGCCCTTTATCCCTTGATAAAACTTGAATTACTGAAGGAGCCTGCACTGCTGCTGACTGTACTGTTCCTGTCCTGTGGCAAAACAAACATTTCCATTTTCAGCAACTGTGATGCTGGCCCATTTTACCACTTCAGATCCTTAATTAAAACAAAAGAATACAACACACACACAGCACCAACACATTTTAACTCATTCTTGGGTTAAAAGGCGAAAAATAATGGTGGTAGTTTAGGCAAAACATGATAGCTTCATTAATAACCTGTAACTGCTACAAAAATCATTATACCATCTCTTGCATAGTCCTGATTTCAGGACTAAGAATCTTTCATATTTAGTGGGAAATTTAGAAAGATTGCAACTTGTCCACGTTTTTTTCCAAAGTATCTTCAAATATTTTAACCACAGGATGAAAATATGTTTTATTGAGAACATATTTTGTTATTACTTCAACTTCAGAGTCAGCTGTGCCTTTCTTTTCAGAGAAAGCTCATACATAGCAATTCTAAAAGACAAGGTAAAGCACAAGTACTGTGATCAAGAGCATTTAATGAGATGGTACACAATTTCATGCCAAGAAATCATAAAAGTGAAAAATTATGCCTTCCTCTTCCAACTCTAGTTACCGAATTTCAACTCTTTCTGACAGAGGTAAGGAGCAGTATCCAAGCAACGAACTTCAGAGATACTTTGGCAATGGACAGAGCCAACCACAGCTACAAGCACAATGCCAAAATGATTTAATGGGCCGTGCTTTGCCAAGCTCCTATTGACAAAATAATGAAGTAAACCTATCGATCAGTGTTAAGGCATTGCACTGAAGTTACTTGCTACTCTTTGACATTCTGTTTAACCTATCTTCAACCTCCTTCTCTTGTCCACTGAAATGAGTTCCAGAAGTAATGTCAGTTTTAACCACTTTTTTTGGTGGTTATTGTTTTTGCCACCAGGCTGTACTTGTGTTAAGTCAGAGAAGCTTAAGAGGGCTTGTGATCAACCAGAACACAGATAAGCTGATCAGAACCATCAGAAAGTGCAGCAAGGAGAGAAAGAGCAGAAATACCCATATTATACAAAGTGGAAAGTCCACATGCAATTATCACGTCTTTGCAGGAAAGAGAAACGTTGCTTTACATCATACATTTGGGTCTATGCATGAACTGAACTCTAAATAACAAACTTTTTTGCATCTGTCCCTGACTGAGGGTACTCTGACTATTCTTTGCAAGTGGGGAAAGCTGAAATTATTATATTACTTTGCAAACCTTGATTTAGAATTATCTTTTCTTCCTAGCACACTGAGTCCTCACTAGTACCCAAAAAGAGTATGCCTGTCTCTAATTCTGTGCAGAAAAAACAAACATGAAGATGTAAAATAATATATGGCATCACAAAAACCCTCCTATTACATTCACACAACATAGAGATGCAGTCTGAGGCACTGTACTTGAAAACCAGACAAGCATAATTCAAGAGACAGAACCAAGTATTTGCTTTCCTTCTTTTGTGACCAGTTGGTTCTCTTTGGAATCACTGATAATCATTAGATAAGGTGAAATTTGCAGCCTAGCCTGTGTATCTACTCCTGCAGCAGGTTCAGAAGACTGAGAAAATAATACTCCAAATGCATGTGCAAGACAGTACAACACTGAGGAACTGACATGGCTCAAAAATTCATTCTTAGCCTCTAGAAAGTGTCAGATCCTTCTAGTTAGTCCACATACTTGGTTTTTATTTATAAATGGATTTTCAGAGAAACTGAAAAATAATTTTGTTTCCAGACTCTTTTAGGTGAGACTTGCTAACTCGACTCTCTCAGACCCCTGTATATCAACAGAAGACTGCAAATTACAGTGTGGATTTGTGTCAGTGTAGAGTTTCAGTTCTGATAAAGGGATCTCTTACCTTCAGACAGGGACAAATCATCAGCTGGAGACACCAGGTCTGCCTGGATTGCAGGGCCATTGCTCAGCGATGTGGTAATCTGATTCGTCAAGATAACCTGCAAAGAGAGAAGGAAAGGGTAAAGGGAAATGAATTTTTATAGCTACTGGAAGGCAGAAAAAAGCCCAGGACTGGAATCCTCCAGGCATAGCATCCAGGCAATTTCAACACTCAGAACATTTTGAACTATCTGCAGAAACTGAAAGAGATATTTGCAAGAAGTGGAGGAAAAGAGATATTGTTAAAAAGATGAAACACTAAACAACAGGATGTTGATAAATATAGCCAGCTAAAATGAAACTACTGTTCTGAAGAGCTTCATTCATCGTTTGTTCATCTTCCATGAACAATTTGATGTTCCTTACAAAAAAACACCATTTTCTTCATAGGCAAATAGGAATTCTATTTCCCTAGTAATTTCCAGACAATTTACACATTTCCTTCCTTTGGCTGAAACAAAATGCCATGGAGAGAGGTGCTGTAGGGATCCACCCCCATCGATCTGAAGTGCAAAACTACTAAATGTTACTGGGTTATCTCTACACAAGAGGATTTTTGAGTGTTTTTCAGGATCACAAGATTCTGATAAACAACAGACTGTAGTAACCACACAGTGCTCTCCTCTGAAAGCACGAGCAATCATAGAATCAGCCAGGTTGGAAGGGACCTCTGAGATCATCAGGTCCAACCCTTGATCCAACACCACCATGGTTACTAGACCATGGCACTAAGTGCCACATCCAGTCTCATCTTAAAAACCTCCAGAGACGGAGAATCCACCACTTCCCTGGGCAGCCCATTCCAATGCCTGATTACCCTCTCTGTAAAGAATTTCTTCCTAATATCCAACCTAAACCTCCCCTGGCACAGCTTAAGACCATGCCCTCCTGTTTTACTGATAGCTGCCTGGAAGAAGCGACCAACCAGGGACTTAATCAACGTGAGCTTATGACCCGCACTTACTGGGAATTCCTCGTTCACGGGGAAGAATTGCAAACCCCGATCCCCATCACGAATGGGGTTCAATGGGTTACCCATGCCTGACGGTGGAGGGTAGGCACCAGCTGAGCCACTCAGTGTAGCACACGTGCAATTGACAGGCTTGCAAGGGATAAACAGTTTCTTGCGCTCTTAAACATGTACTGTTTTCTAGTAACAGAAAGCATTAAGGCAAACACTGCAAACACCAGAGGGAAGAGCATAGGAAACCACAATTATCTCATAATGCTTTGGATCTTTAAGCAGCTGCACTATCCACAATAACAGTAAATTACTTTCTTTTTTTTTTTTAAGAAAAATTATCCTTTTACTTGCACTGAGAACAGACTCCGCTCCAAACAAACTCTCTTTGAAATTAATGGCCCGTCTTCAGCTATATTTGACACAGGAAGAAGGGAGAAAGGAATCCTACATGCTACTCTGTGGATGCTACTGGAATAAATATCTTACCATTGCTAAAAGGAAGAGGAATTTCTCTGCTCTTCCCTCCACTGTTCCTCCCTCCCTCTGATCATGGCTTCCTCCTGCTTTCTAACACTTGCAGCATTATGATATGACACACACCCCATTTTCTTTTTCTACTTCAAGATCCCACATAAGCTGTGTGAGATCAGAGAGTTCTAACTGGAATGGTGGTACTGCGGGATATTGTGTCTTCTTCAGGCAGCATGACACGAGCTGCCAACAATGTGATGGAGTGTGAGACCTTTACCAAGACAACAACTCCACCTCCCTGCTCACATCAGCCCACCCATATCTGTGCTTGCAAACAGTATAATGGTGCCTCAGAGCTTTATGCACTGTATCAAGAGGACTAAATTGAGAAGTGGGTAAGTCAAATCTTCATCTACTCAACAGGAGTTCAAGACCTTTAGAACTCCATAGTGATGCTCCTCATGCTCTTCTGCTATTGACTACAAGCTCTGGACAAACTTCAGCTGGCCATGATCACCCTGCCCAGCTTAACCCCAGGGTGCACCTTTTGGGACTGGGCATTTATGATGACTGCAGTGAACACAAACATAGTAAGTAACAGCCTTGTTTGGTCATACACCTTGGCTAAGGTTCTTAAGGTACACTTTGCAATACTGCCAACAGCAAACACACGAGAAACACATTATATCCCTCTGCTGTTTCCCCCAGAGCTGCTGCATGCACCTGTAAGCACCCAAAAGCAGACAGCAAACGGCCTGGTACACATAACTTCTTGCACCCACTGACGGCTGTCCTGTTCATCAGGTTCCACAGTAAGATGATTCAATTTAATAACAAAGAAGAAAAAAGTCATGTTTTCCTTTATTCTTGCCGCGGTACTTATCTTTCATTTTATTGAGCTAGTTTGTCCTTGTGATAAGTTGAGCACCAAAACTGGATCAAGGCAAAGAAAAGGAGCAGGCATCCAAGAGTCAGCAGGGATAAGGAATAGGTTGTGAGACCCTTCCTTCTTGAAACTATTTTCACTTTGTATTCACCATGTCAAAAAAGCCACAGCCTCAGTTATCCATAGTATCCAATACTAGAAAATGTGCTGAAACAGAACACACTAACAAACTTGTACACACGTACTGGTGAGTTATGAAGCTTTCATTGGCACACTTTTGCAATGATCACATTATTCACAAGTGTCAAGCTCTGTAAGTGATTCAGTCACGCCAGGCTTTGCCAAGATAATCTCTGTACTGTGTCATCATGTATTTTATTATTTATGCACCACATTTTAAAGAAACATTACGAAGCTTAAGGAACATTTTTAATAGAAAAAAAATACCTAAGCATACCATATTTCATATTGCTTTCTTTCAAAGGAAACTAAAGGCTTAAAAAAAGAATCAAAAGAAAAATGAACAACAAAAATATTTCAACTGCTTTTTTTCTTAATCTTTCAGATTTTTGCCTTCTTCTTTAACTGGGAACTCCACAGCATTGTTACCTGTAGGACTGAAAATCTTCTTCCCCTTTATGTTTAACTCAAGCTATGCCTCTGAATTTAGATTTCAATTTTTGATGTATCCTTCAATAACTATTCAATACTAATATCCTAGATGCCTTGCTGTGCTGTTTAAAAATCAGTTTAAAAATGCAGAGTCCTACTGAAGTAAATGTTCCACTCTGACTTGCTTTAAGGATGGGAATTAAGCATATTCTTAGCTCCATAACTTCACCAATAGTTAAACTTTTGCTTAAATACATGTTTAAATACTATCTTGAATAAGTACACTTCCTCTGAGATGAAGCCATATGCATGTACAGAATGCTTCTCTTGGAATTAACTGCAAATTATTCTTCATTACTGCAAGCCTGCAGAATCAACATAGAGATTCAGTTCTCCCATAAGTACAAGCCAAGAGGCTGTTAGCTAAGCACTAAATTTGGCATCAAATTCCCTGTCACACCTCTGCAGCCTTGCTTACTGCAAAATTCTTCTATCAGGTATAGTTACACCTATTATCAGATAGATAGATAGATAGATAGATAGATAGATAGATAGGTAGACAGACAGACAGACAGACAGACAGACATCTCTATATCTTTGTGTACCTACCATAACACAGTTTGAACCTCACTCTGAGAGTATCCAGATTGCTCTAAACTCTCACTAGATCAAACAAGCCGCAGGTCACTAACAAAAGAAAATATGCTGGTCCTTTGTTCCAGTCAGATTTAGCAAACTCCTCTGAATACGTACATCTATCGTCAAAATTTCAACCACATGCCCTTACCGGAAAGTGCCATTTTTATTTTTCCACGAGTAAAACTTTGGTCACAAACACTTTGGCAGTGAAAAGTGCCATTTAAACAGGACCCTACATTTTCAACAGTCCCCAGTCCTACAGGCATTCAAATCGAAGTCCTGAATATTGGTATCACATGATTCCAGTGGCACATCAAAAGAAAATAATAATTTTTCCCCAAAGTCTCCTTCACTAACCTGAAAGATACGCTTACACTCTGTTCTGCTATCCTTTGAAATGGTTTGATGTGTTCAGAGAGTTGCAAACAAGTGTCTGAGGGAATGGTTAAACTTGTGTGTGATTTGGAGAGAAAACACAGGCAGACAAAGGAGATCTGGTGTGAAACAGCTGTGTGACTTTCTGATGAGTAATCACATTTGTGCATGGACAGCATCTGCTGAGTCTCACACATTGCTTCATACATGCGTCCACAGACTATAATGCTAGTTTTGATGTTAATGATGCCATATCTTAAAAACGACCAAAAAGAAGGCTAGAGTATCCCCCTTTGGTCTGATAGATGCCACACTTGAAAGAAACCACCTCTCACTGCTAAACAGCAGTTGGAAACATGCTGGAGCTGCAACTCCAGGCAGACTTACTAGAGACTGCCTTGCACTGAACTAGCAATAGTACTTCCTCAACTTTTCATCGTAGATCTGTCAGATACAGATCAGATTTAACCTGTTTAGTACAAGAGACCTGCCAAGTCCTGAGGCTAAGTAGGTGAGGAAAAGTTGCCTCTGTTGTGGTTCCTTTTGACAGATACTGGACATCATTACCAGCCAAGAACAGCTTCCTCTTAAGAGACTGAAAGCCAGTCACGTGTTTATTATCTTCCAGCAGAACACTCAACAGTGAAAATATTGCTACATGGTATTTTGATGTTATAATATTGAAATACATAATATTTTAAAATGCATTGTATTTTAAAAATACATACTATTTTAAGAGGAGCTCCTATTTCCATCATGAACTAATGGAACAAAATGTTTTCATTACCACTAAGAGTCACAAAAAACAGCACACCTCTCCACACATACAACTGTGTCCTGACATGTGCAACAGGTAAGGAAGTTGTGCTATTGCTTTCTGTTTCTACTTCGTGATGAATGAAGTGTGTAGGGCCTCTCCAGTCAATGACTGTGCATGAATGTAAAACACTCCCCTGCTAAAAGAGGGAAAAAAAGATGAAAAGGTCAGCTAAACAGCTCAGTAACACTGGAAACACGCCTCATGCAGTCTGCTATGGAGTTCAGTGAACCATTGCCTTTAACCTTTGAGCCTATTCATTTGCCATTGGTCAAGCTAGCTATTTAACAAGTGA